TTTGTCTGTTCTCTCTTGTTGTTCCTGCTGCCCAGCTCGTCTGCATGCTGCCTTTACAGGTTTTTCACTGCCACTTTAACAGCAACTTCTTCCCTCTGTTCCTGGAGCACCTGCTGTCAGACCAGATCTCTGTCTCTACTGGATCCTTCCTGCTCGGTGAGTCTCAGGTGGGACTGGAGGGAGCAGCGGGGTTAGGACATGGCCTGAGTCTGGATTTGCTTTTCCCCAACTCCACCTGGGGAGAGGTGTGCTCACGTGCTGGTCTCTGGGCTGTAAGTGTCACACATGCTCACACCCCACATGCTTCCCTGGGACCTCCAAGTCATGCTTCCTCGGCACAAGAGAAGTAATTGGAACCTTTTCTACTGGTGACGAGCCCAGTGTGCTGGACTTTGGCCTAGACACCACAGAGGCATTGCTCTGAGCATTAGTGGCTGCAGGTAGTGTTCCCAGGATGCAGCAGGGAACACAGCCCTGAATTTAATCCTTTTCTCTCTGTGGCATATGGGCCATTTCCAGGCTGCCGCAGATCTGTGGGCACTGGTCCTAGAGTTACCCTGGGAGGGTTCTGTGTGGGCCAGGTCTGGTCACGCTGTCCTGTCCCTCTCATTTCTGCTCCAGGGCTGAGTCCTAGCCCCTGCGTGACACTGGGCAAGTCTTTTCTTCCTTCCTGCCCATGAGGTTGAGGGAAGAAGGCCTCCCTCTGTAGGAAGAGCGTTTTTTTTGAGTAAATCTGCTAGAGCCTTCTGTACATGTGTGGGGGCTATTCTGTGCTGTGTGTCCTGCAGCCCTGCTGGCGATAGCCAGCCTTGTCCCCTCTCAGTATTGGTCCTGGGGGCATGGTGGGTACTGAAACTCCCCCAAGCTATTTGTGCCTCTGTCTCTGCTCAGGTGTTTCCTACATTGCCCCCCATCTCAACAACCTCTACTTCCTGTCCCTCTGCCGCCGCTGTGGGGTTTATGCTGTGGTGCGAGGACTCTTCTTCCTGAAGCTGGCTCTCAGCGTTGTCATGCTCCTGGCAGGACCGGATCAGGTGTACTTGCTCTGCATCTTCATTGCCAGGTAGGCAGGCAGCACTCGCTTCCCTTGCTCTCTGCCACCTGGGAGGGGAAATTACTTGTCTCTGGTTTATGGAGAGGAGCAGGAGGTGGGGAGCAGTAGCCAGGGTCACACAGAATTCATGTGGGTCCCAGCTCTGACCACAGCCGAGCTTGGGACAGGTCACTGCAGAATCCACTGGCTGTGCCTGCAGCAGAGCGAGGGAGGCAGCGATGTTTAGGACAGAGACCTGGCAGGGTGGGCGGCAGCCGGCAGCAGCCTCTCCCAGCTGCTGAGCTGCTGGGAGTCACTGCTTTGCAGTCCTCTCTGCAGCCTGCCTGCAGCCATAGCCCTTGGCATGTGCTGCAGCTGCCCTGTTAGCCACTGGCCCAGCGTGTCCTGTCCCCAGGCCTGTCTGTGTGACAGGTAAGGGCTGATCCAAGGCATCGCTGCAGGGTACACAAGGCGTATTGCTAGCAGCGTTCCCCTCTAGCCCTCTGAAATTCTTATTTTAAGCATTGGGGAACCTTTTGCATCCCTCTCCATTTTCTCTGATCTCTCACCCACTCCCATCGTTTCTTGGTGCCCTTAGTCAGTGCTTTGCCTGTTGTTCTGCAGCAACCGGGTGTTCACAGAAGGGACCTGTAAGTTGCTCAACCTGGTGGTCACTGACTTGGTGGATGAGGATCTAGTCCTGAACCGTAGGAAGCAGGCGGCCTCAGCGCTGCTCTTTGGGATGGTGGCTCTGGTCACCAAGCCGGGCCAGACCTTCGCCCCTCTGATCGGCACCTGGCTGCTCTGCGCATACACAGGTAAGGATGCTCCTGGGGAAAGCAGCGGGGTGGGGGCAGACCTGTGAGTTCAGTGCCCTCCTCCATGTCCTGTGCCCTGGGTGGGTGCCGAGGGCTCTTCCAGTTGCTAAGCTGTGCCCGGTCTCTGCATCTCCGAGGCCAGTCACGCAGAGAGAATGGGTCCATCCTCACTGTCCCTGGTCTCACAAGCTCTTTTCTGATGCCAGGCTACGACATCTTCCAGCGCAACCCCTTGGGCAATGTGGTGAGTGCCCAGCCGAAGCTGGAGTCTGACGCAGCCTTGGAGCCAACCCTTCGCCAGGGCTGCTTTTACCTCCTCGTCTTCGTACCCATCACGTGCGCGCTGCTGCAGCTCCTCAGCTGGTCTCAGTTCAGCTTGCATGGGAAGCGACTGCAGATGGTGAAGGCTCAGCGCCAAAGCCTGACGCAAGGCCGAGCACCGGAGGTCAAAACCATCTAGGGGTGCCTGAGCCCCTGGGGGTTGCTGGTTTCCGGCTGGTGCAGGACGGCAGGCTAAGCGCAGGGATTGCGGGCTGAGAAACCCCCGTGTTTACGGTTCAACTGTGAAATGCTGTAATGCCAATGTTTACTCTTTCCAGGAGGTGGTCGCTGGGGAAGGCAGAGAAGCTCAACGTGTGAGGGGCCTGGGATAGATGGCTTGGCCACAGGAGCAAGGATATTTTGTCCTAGCCTGTCCCAGGGAGCAGAGGGCTGCTCATCCCAGCAGGGAGGGGCTGGGTTGCAGTGTGTGCTGGAGACAGACATGTCCCTGGGTGCAGTCCCCTGCCCTGGGCATGGCCTGGGGGAACTGCAGCCTTCCTGGCTCAGCAGGAGGAGAGGGCACAGGGAGTCCTTCCTTGCTCGAGCCCTGCAGCTTTGGGGAGTGGAGTGGGAGGCTCCCTAGGGACCGTGGGGGTGATTGCAGGAAAGCAGGAGCAGGGATGGGAGGACCCTGAAGGCCTTTCCCGGTAGCTGGTACAACCCCTCCCACATACAGTGCTGTGGTTCTGGGACCAAATCCACTCTTAGGCATTTCTTGTTCCCAGGATAATATCCTGCACAGCCAGGGACAGCTGGCTGTGCTTGGTTTATGCTGAGGCTCCCTCCTTCGTGGCCTTGCAGAGGGAGTTGTTGCTGGGCTGGGAAAGGCACTGGGTTTGAACTGGGCTCAAGCCTTGAGCTGGAACATCTGATCTGGCATCCCCGTGCCTGTGTTTATCCCTCCTCTCCCCTCCACAGCCCCGTGGGAGCAGATGAAAGCGCCTCCCTGCCTAGGGCCATTCCCAGTGAGGCAGCCTGGCGCCTTCCCCTCTTACAGGAGGAGAGCACAGCCTGGAGGAGACACCAGGTCTTGCTTTTGTGCCTTCAATTCCTCTTGGGAGTCTGTCCGACACAATGCTGGGCAGTCACAGGGTTGAGATTTTACCTCTTGTGGGGAGAGACAGACACCTCAGCTCCCCTCCGCTTGAAACGGTGCCCCAGAGTGTGATCATCTCACCTGGCTGCCGAGGCAGGGGCCCAAGGAGGAGAGCAGGTGCTTTGGTGTCCCTGGTTCTGGGCTGGTAGCCACCAACAGGATCCCTTGAGGTGGGGGAGTGTCTCCTTGGGCCCTGCACCCTGTCTGGGGGCAGGCAGAAGAGATGTGCCAAAGCAGAGCTTGGCACGCAGGCAGCGTTTGAAAGCCCTTGCGTGCTTAGGGAGGTGCTGTTCTTTGTTTAGTGCCAGGTTCCCTCGGGGTCTCAGCCCCCAAACCTGCCATCTTGCCTCAGGACACGGCTGCCTTCTGTCTTGGACCAAGCCCTCCCTGCCACAAGGCTTCTGTAGCTGGCTGAATCATAAGTTATTTGTGCGACTTCTAACAAAGTTTGAGAATGATTCATTTCATAAATTAAAGATGACCTTTTCTGTACCACTTGGTGATTTTTTTGTGGGTGGATCTAACCTGGCTGGGTTTGTGCAGTGCCACAGGGGCACGACTGTGGTTGTGTGCGAGAAAATGGGGACTGTTCCCCTCCAGCTAAGCTCTGGGGTCTGGGCCCATTTCTGCAAGGGAGGGGGGAGAGGAGCAGCAGGCTGGTGTATTGCCTGCCTTTTGGGGGGAGGCAAGTCACTTACCCCTGCTACTTTGGAAGGTCCTAGGCCTGCCCTCTTCCTTCAGCTGCTTTTGGGGACAAGGCTGGGGCTGGTTGCTGGCCCAGGCACTGCACCACCTTCCCACCCCCCCCACCTGCCCTGGGAGCAAACCTTGCTGTGTCCATTCCCTGCAAGTGCCGGGGCTGGCACCAGCTCTTCTCCCAACAGTGGCACCACTCAGCCAGGGCTGCCCTTGCTGCCTGCGCCAGCCCTCGCTCGCAGCTCCTCTGCCTCGGCTGCCCTTGACCTGCCTGGGGAAGGCAATCCTGGACCAGCGACGGTGTCTCCTTGCAGCGACTGGCCAGCAACAGTTCTGTGTGGACGAGAGAACACGAGTTACCTCCTTAAAACTGCAAATGTGGGAAGATGAGGCCAGGAGGCATGAGGGTTGTATATGAATGACTTTATTTAAGTATGCTGGGCACCACCAGGCAACACGGTTTGGACAGTGTGCAAGGGAACAGTCAGGCAGATCGAACAAATGCTAGTTTGGAGACGGCACCTTTCTGTCCGGTCACTGCAGGTTACAAAATGGAGCACTGCGGCTTCTGCAAGGCCAGCAGAGGGGCTGGGGGCCGGGGGGGGGGCAGGAAGAGATCACTGGCACTGCCTGGGGCACGTGGTAACTGAACCCAGAGGGGTTTGCTGCTTCCCCACCACATGCTGCAGCAAACCAGCAAGAACGCAACTGGTTTTCCAGCAGAAGGCTGCGCACTGATGGCTTTTTTCTACCTGACACGTTCCTGCTTAAAGAAAAAAAAAAAAAAAAAAAAACAACCAAAAGACACCAAAAAAACCCCTAACACAGTCTGCTTTGATGGTCCGATGGGTGTAGGTGAACAAGCAACCCAGCTTGGGCTGGGAAGGGACCACCGCACCTGCCTACAGCCTCTTCCAGCCCGGCATCGAGCCCGCAGAACGTGGCTCGGGCCAGGGCAGCACATTGCATGGTGCTGCTCACAGCTGCTCCAGCTTCTGCCACACCTCGCAGCAGCCCTCCAGCCCTTACCCCCTCTCTGTGCTTGAGGGTGACCCCCAGCTGTGTGTGGCAACAAAGAGAATGGAGGGGAAGAAGAACTGCCACCCAGCAACACCAGCTCCACCGCTGCTGCCGGGTGCTGCAGAAAATCCACACTGGGGATGGAAGAGGGGAAAAAAAATTTAAAAAGCACCAAACACCACATACAAAAAACCTAAAGGGGAAATAGTGGCACAACCCAGCGCCAGCGGGTCCACAGGCCTGCCCCTCGCTGGGAAAGCAGTAGAAGCAGAGCAGCTACCAGGTGAGCAGAAAGGCGTACGCAGTACAGAGCCCCGGCGACAGCTTCCCCCTCACTTGGGCTTCCTGGTGCAGTTTATTGTCCTCCCATTTAGTGTATTCACAGGGAACAGCGAGGCGCCCTAAAGAGCCGTTACTGGGTGGTGCCGCAGGGCTGGCTGTGCCGCTAAGCCTGTGTGCTGCGAGCAGCGTTAACACCCAACAACGGACGGCTGCGTAGCAGGCGTTCAAAGAAGACCCAAAGCGTAATTCCCAGGTGCTGTGGTCAGTATTTGAGATATCTTCAAGACATTTCAATAAATAAAACAATTCTTACATTACAATGCACCTTTCCAATTATTATTTTGCCCCAGAATGGATAAAGTACACAAGAGTTATGCCTGGCTGCAAATACATGCTCCCCGGGCCCTGACATGGCAGGAAGGAGGGAAAAACAGCCTCGACTCTTACAGTAAGAGAAAGAACGTGAGAACTCAGCGCTGTAAATCTTGGCAGGTTGAGGGGGAACACACAAGTGCCTTCACCCCTCCTCTGGGGCACTTGCTTCCAGAGGAGAAAAGGTATTTAAAACAAGGTATGAGAGAATAACCGTCTAGTACAATGGTAGCTGATTAGGTTTGCTTTGTTCTACTCCATGCAATACAAACTAAGTCCTATCACCAACTGCTCCAGCGGTGGTGCAGACCCACGCGTCAGGCTAAGAAGTTACACACGCATACGCACACTCACGCACCAAGAACAGTGGGGGCAAATGGGCTTAACTGTTGAGAATGTGCTTTCTCTTAATAAAAAAATATATTAAAAACAACTTCAAAAAGCTACTGATGGTGAAGACACCGCTGAAGAAGAAAGTAGCTACGGGGCCTCAGCTATGCGTTTCCAGATGATCCAGGCATCGCAGTCGGGCTGACTAAAGCCTGCATGAGCAGTCTGCAGCGGTTGGCTCCCTTCTGGCTTGCTAGGCAGTTTCTATAAGCTGTTCCCTTTGTTTTTGCTTGCTTGTTTGTTTTACAGTGACAAACGTGATTGCGATACAGAAATTAAGGTACTGAAATGAAAAAGGAATGGGCCATTCTGGAGAAATTCAGACTGGTATGTTTGCCTTTCCATTTTAAAAAAAAAAAAACCCAACAAAAATAAAATAAAAAAAATAAGAAGTTAGTAGTACTAATACAACCCTCCTGCTGCTGTTGTCTTTGCTCAGTGACATCGGGGCATGCTGGCGCACACACACACACACAGGCAGCTCTCAGACACTCGGACTCAGAAAAGCGAGTTTAGAACTGAAGTGAGTCTTCAGAGGAGACTGAGGACAGATCCCAGGGCTAGAAGGTTTTTCGGTGGAGGGCACGAGCTCCATCTTCTTCATATTCCTTTTTCGAAACCCACATTTTCTTAAAGGTGTCCAGTGAGGCCAGGATAGAGCCGCTGGGGAGAGACAGGCATGTTATGGGTTAAAGGAAAATGTTGGGGGCACCCTCATCATATCCCTGCAGAGATGAGCTGTTTCTATTGCATGACACTTCCCCACGTCAGAAAGGTGCCGAGGCTCCCCGTCATCTACAACAGAAGTGCTCTCTGGACAGTCACTTCCTCTCCCGTTCGCCTCAAACGTGCCGGCGCTACAGAGCGCCCTCCCCAGCGACCTGCTGGCTGCTGCTGCGGTAATACGCCGAGCATCGCGCGAAGAAACCCTCCTGACGCTCCGCACCAGAAGGGACAACACTGCGAGCACCGAGGGGCTGCGCCTCCCCAGCCCTCACCCCACAGCGAGACGTGTCCCCGAGCAGTACGTACCCAATCCACGTGGAATACAATCTCTCCTGAGGAGCCGATATCTGGGAGAAAGAGAGCATCAGTCAACACCTTCCCAAGCTCCCGTCTGCTCCTCCCTGGCACACTGCTCCCCACTGCACTACAGCTAACAGCTGACAAACACAGGCATGATCTCTCCCACCAGTCCCCGCCCCACCCCCCTCCCAAAACAGCCACTGTTGTCCAGGATCCTGGACAGGGGTTGTGTTGTCAGAGAAGCCACCTTCTCAGTGATGGAACTAAACAGGTTCTCATCACAACAGCAAATACTGTCGGGCTGTCTCAGGAATGTCGTTTCTGGTTTGAAGCAACTGGCAGCTGCACTCTCAGCATGGTTGTTTAAAGGCCACAAAACAACACATGTAGAAAGCGATAAACACAAGAGAGATTGCTCCTACCCTTATTTTGACGTCCTTCGGAGCCAGTTTCTTCACTTCGCTCAACAGCCTGTCACCAAAGCCTAGACAAGACAGAAAATGTCTAGTGCGACACCCTCAGCAGAGTCCCAAGTTCCATCTATTAATGATGTGGACATGTCCTATGCAGTCCTATTCAAATATCCCACTCCAGATCTCACACAGACACCAGTCTGGAGAGGCACAGAACGCAGCCAGTGCGGTACCAGGATTCTGTCTCACTCAGACCTCAAACACTGGCACAATGGGCTCTATCCCTCAGCAGCAACTTGAGACAAGCAAGCAAGATTTTTAGCTAGGACCTCCTCCTTCCCTAGGCATTCCTCCTGTGTCCAATCCATTTTTACAAGGGAGCGGGGGTTGAATGGGAAGACCAGGACCACTCTGGAGATGTCTGCCCGTGGATAACAGACTGACGGGTTCTGGAAGAGGGTATCTTTAAGTTGATGGGGACCAGCTGAGCCCTGAGAGGATGGGTAGAAAGCTTTTTGCACACACGCAGCTGGCACTTTGTGCAGTACCAGGACCACTGGACTCTCTCACACACCAGAGACCTACAGGAACCTTAGGAGATGCGAGAGCCTGTTAGGTACCTAGTCTCAAATATCCTGAACTACAGCAGAAGGAATGAACACAGCTGTGCAGTCCTGACACAGGCAGAGCGATAGCAGGAAAACAGTAAGAGGCTTCAAGCCCAGGAAGCGTTTTAGAAGGGCAGAGGTGTCTTGCATACCCAGAAGGGCAGGACTAGGACTCAGAAAATTAGACGTTAACCCCACCCAAGAGAGCAAAGTTCCCACATCCCTCGCCCCACAGGACAAATTGGGTGATCTAGGATATCTTCCTAGTTTCACATGAGAAGGAAGCAAGAGATCAAGTATGTCACAGCCCACTGAAAGAGGAGAGGCAGGAACCTTTGAAAAGCGTGGAGCCTCCAGACAGCACGATGTTGGAGAACAGCGTTCGCCTCAGGTCCATGTCTGATTTTTGAATGGCAAAAACAAGCACCTCATGGAGTCCTTCACATTCCTCCCCTATCAGGTCTGGCCGGAACAGGAGCTCCGGGGCTCGAAAACGGGCAGGGCCAATCTGCAAGGAGAGAAGTTAGCACAGAGAAGAGAGAGAAGTGTGGCTCTGTTCACTGTCTACAGTTTGGGCCTACTTTTCTTAGGTGAAAACTTCAGAGTAACGAACCAGCTCTCAAGTGAATGCCAGTTTGGTCTACTGCTCCTTGAAAAGGCGCTATTTCCATTCTGCAGATGAAAG